TGTGGTTCTATTTCTAGATTCTCTGTTTTATTCCAATGATCTATATGTCTTTCCTTACACCAACACTGCTTTGATTACTGTAGCCTTAGAAGAAGTCTTAAAATTAGGTACTAAATGTCTTCCAACACAGTTTTTTTTTTCCTTTTTCTTTTTATATTCCTAGGTCCTTTGTACTCCTACAAGCTTTTAAATTTCAATATCCAATTCTTCATTTATAGCAAGTATACATAGACCTGAATTTTTATATATACCTTGTGTTTTTTTAATCCTGCTAAATTCAAGTACAAGTTCTAGGGGATCCTAGAGATTTCTTAGTAGTTGCTCTGTAGATGAACATTTCATCTACACATAAAGATTTTACTTCTACTTTGCCAATCCTATGCTATTTGTTTATTTTTATTGTCAGACTATTTTGGTTTGGGCCTATGTTTCAAAGTTTAATGGACAGATGAAGAGTAGGCTTATCTCAAAACTCAAATGAGGAGAAATCTAGGTCTAATACTTTAGATGATCATTTTTAAAGCAAACTTTTACAGTGTTTGGGCTATAGTTACTGCTCACTAATCACCAGAAAAAGGACCTGAAACTTACTGCCTTTTTGCAAGTTCTCCTCCCATTCACCTACACTTCACACTCAAACAGTCAGTTCTGCCTCCTTCTTTCCTGATGCCTCCAATGTTTCCTCTAGCAGTGCATCCCTGTGAGTTTCTTAGCAGCATCGGGGGATTTCTAACTGATTGCTCTTACATTTGCCTTGAAGTCCTTGAGGATGCTACAATCTATTTCTTGGATATAATATCCCCCTTCTTACTATCTCAAAAATAATTTATTGTTCCTTATTCTGTTTCTTTTAAAAATTCTTTTATTGGTACATTTTAGGTATACAATACATTTACATTTATCATTGGGTGTTTGTACCTGAACATGATGTATCTTGGTTCTTACTTTTTCCCCATTACCTGTGCACCTGCCCCCCCTCCCTATTTACATAGACTTTGTTTCCATTATTTTTTTCTTTTCTCAGAATTTTTTCCTTTCTCTTCTTTCCTTTTCCCTTCCCCTCCCACTTCCCACACCCCTTTGGACATTTTCTTCCTATTTCAAATTATCAATTATTTGTTTTAATCCTTATGTACACTGTCAGTTTCTCACACTTTCTAATCATTTTAACTCTCATAACTTTTAAAAATTATTTTGACTCATCTTTCTCACTCAATGGAGGCCTGAATTCTCAGATGCCCCTCGGAGTTCATAATGTGAATCAGTATATGAGAAATGCTTTATAAATAAGAATAACAGATGACAGAAATCATTCAGAGATGTTGGAACTTTGTTTGCAGAGTTGATTAGAGAATCCTTTGGAAAGGCTTCAGCACTTAGGTAATGAAATGGAAGGTGCTGGATCAAGTTTGAAAAGAGTAATGAAGTTTAGTTTTCCCAAGAGAATAGAAAAATTATACATGAAGCTCATTTTACAATTCTATTGCAACATGCAATTTATGAGAATGAAAAGATAGCAAAATTGCCTAGCTGGTAATAACATTGATTAACATTTTTGTTGGAAGAAAAGTTAAGGCCAAAGTGTGAACCATAAATTGGGAAAGTTTCTGAAAACCTGAAATGTTTGGTAATAATTTTTCTGCCAATGTTATTAATTTTAAAAGTTAATGTAGGGGCCAGGGATTTAGCTCAGTGGTTCCACTGCCTGCCTTGCAAGCACAAGGACCCGAGTTCGATCCTCGGTACCCAAAAAAAAAAGTTAATGTAGATCTGAAAATATTTACAGCATAGATGGAGGAAATGCTACAATTTTGATAAAATAGTTTGTTGTTAGATTTATGTTCAAATGCAAAATTCATAACTTGACCAGTGACCTTAACTCCTTCCCCAGCTTCAGATCTCAATGACACTCACCTTTTGCTTTGAATTTCTGGAGTACACCCTCACAGATACTTGCTTGAGGACTGTAGTACACCCAGCTCTTCTCTCTGGAAAGAATACTTTTGCTGCCAATTTAATACTTAATCTCCTACTCATATTTTAACCATTGTTTAAAATTTACTTCTTAAAGAACATTTCCCTGGCTTCCCAATCGATAGTGATATAACATCCCATTCTTACTAATTATAATGGTGCTTATAATACTTTGTACTACCATGGTTATTGATGTAGTTATATTTTTACTATCTGTTATTGATGATCTCCTTAGAGATCATATGGTCCCAGTTACTTTAAATTATTTTACAACTTGTTTATCTTTGAACTGTACTCATCAAATATGACTTTTAAAAATTTTATTCCTATAGAAAAAAATAGGAAAATCATGAACACAAAGGAATCACATTGTTCTTTAGCTTTTTGAGCATCTACTGGTAGCAAGCATCAGAGTTAAATTCCACAGCACTAGAAGTAACTTTCTTTTATTAGATCTTTCCCAGAAGTTATAAGAATAGGAAACCAGAAAAGAGTTAGCAATTTTTAATTATGGCCAAATTAACAGAGAATTCCATCTAACATAATTTTTGATGTCTAATGATGATATGTTTATGTCCATACCTCCATCAATGGAAATGATTAAGGATATTAATGATCATACTTTCAAAAATTTTCAGTATACTGCATATGTATTTCAAAGGATATCTCTGACAAATTGCATTTAATAATTTCTTATCTATATTTTTTCACATTTAACATCTCTTGAAATTGGAAAACACATTGGAATTGAGTACATCAAAACTGGTGAATGCTTTACTTGAAAGATTCTAGTAATACCAAGAAATTACCAGTGTGAAAGTTTTTTGTTTTATTTTTTTGACTCAATGAAATGCAGGTACACAAGTAAGAAAAAATTTGGAGATTTTTAAAGAAAAGTATGATATCATTGCTGTGGGCACACTAGATCTACTTTCTTTTGCATTTCCAATATCTAGTAGTTTCCCAGTGCTATTACAAAATTTGAGAGGTAAATCAACTTAAAAGAAAAAAAGTCTTAGAGTTTCAAAGGTCTTTAGTCTATGCTCACAAGTGGTGAGTCCGAATATCATGAAGGAAGTAGGTGGTAGGGCACAGCTGCTTAGTTCATGTTGTTGCGAAGCAAAGAGAATTTCATTTTATAACAGTCGCTTCTCTGAAACCTATTAAACTATGAGTTCATAAATGTATTAATCCACTGATGAAGTGAAAGCTTTTATGATTCAATCATTTCCACAATGCCCCTCCCACCTTGAAACACTGCTCACTGAGGACAATCCTTCAATGCAGAGCTTTTGGTGGACATTTAAGTTCCAAACCATAACACCATGGTTTCATGATTCTTAATGAAGTTTGGAAATAAATTCAGTAAGAACCTTGCATACCTATTCAGCTCCTTAAAATTTGCAAGCATAATCATAAGCTCTTCTTGATTTTAATGTCTTGACTACTGTGTATAGAAGAGAGAAGATGATGGGTTATCCCTTCCTATAATTATAAACCGACTTGAGAGTATTACATTTTGGTAGCTATCTTGCTAATTAGCATTGAAGTCAGAAACCTTAGTATCTGTTTTATGGACAAGCTACAGTGGTAACACTGAAGTAATGTGTTAGTTGTGGACTTTGAAGGTTGGTGTTTTGGTTGCTGTAACCATGTTTAATGAGGGCTCAGTGGTGTAGTATACAGTTACCTGTTTGACTGTGGCATCTGCACCTTGCGCTTGTCAACACTGATGCAAGGTGTGGCCATGGTAGCATTAGGAATTGATGTATGCCAGCCTGTGTAACTCCAGTTTTTCATCAGGACAGTGACCTGCTGGACCGGCGGAAACATTGCTTCACTGTGCAGTCTGAATCTGGGGAGGACCTCTACTTCTCCGTGGAGTTAGACAGTGACCTCGCCCAGTGGGAAAGAGCCTTCCAAACAGCCACTTTTCTAGAAGTGGAACGGATACAGGTGAGAGGCTGTGGAATGTAGAATCCCTGCTTTTCAGGGGTATGTATTTAATCTCCTAGAATTCTAATTTATGCTTAAAGTGGTATAAAAGTAGCTCAGTGAACCTTGACCTCTTTATCAAATATATTCACAAGAACTAGCCATTATTGTCAAATGAATAATAAGGATGCTTGGAAGTTTTAATTTTCTCACAATTTTATCCTTCTAGGCTATTTCCTAGGACCCATCAAAAATACATTTCTAATTTCAGTTGGACGGTACTCTAACTTGAGTCTGACACCCCAATTTCAGTGAATTGTTTACAAGACCATGTCCTGTTCCCCAGACAAGGACACCTAACTTGCAGCCTGCTCCCTCCTCCATTCACTTACAATTCTCTTTCTTCCCTTCCCTTGTCTAAGCCCTTCAAATCCAATCGTGACTGAAACTGTTTATTTTAAAGATTCTATTATCTATGGACATTTTTCTGATTTCTCGTATGTCCAGCCCAGTAATTACAACTCCTTCCTGAACATTCCTTTCCTATTCTTTTGTCTTCTGCCTTGTGAAAACAGTGTCACCTTCTTTGGTTCATTTTCTTAGGACCACTTACATTCTGTCTTGGGCTGGAGTGGTATGCTTGTCACTTCCTCCACTAAACTGTAGGAAGCTTGAGTTATATTATTCATCTATCAACTGAAGTATCATGCATGTTGTACATCACAATTATTCAATAAATATTTACTAAATTGTATTTCTTCAGAATGGAGTCATATCTAAATCAAAATTCATAGAACCTTCAGTTTTACAATTCAAGAGAGTACAAAATGGAAGCCAGAATTGTTCTGTGGCTGACCTGTAACAGATCTAAAAGTTAGGATGCCCTTGTCCCATGCAAAAGGATTCACAAAGCCTAAATGGACCCTTAATTTTGAAAACCAGTATGATAATACTACAACTTTGATGACACCAAAATGTTTATCTGTAATAGGAAATCAATATGTGTGTTAAACTGATTATTTTTTCACACTATAAACCTCAATATCCACCTTATCAATTTGTGTTAACGTGACATTACAATTAGAGTAGAAATAGAGAAATCTCAAATTTAAACTGTTTCATTTCTACTTGACATTTTTAGCAACTCTACTTTTGTCTTCATATATCTAAAAATTATGAGATAGCTGAAAATACTTTTCATAATTTACCTGTATCTAAATCTATTAAAATAGATATTTTAATATCAAACTGACAGGATGAAAAATCGTAAACATTATTTTATTCTTAGTATCGCTTCTCAGCCTTTTGGCTAAGATCAAGTGTATTTTATTCTTAGTGTCAAAATCTAAAATCATTTAAAAAACTAAATATACTTTAATTGAACACCAATTGAAATTTTGTTATTTATATTTTTTTAGGCTTTTCCACTTACTGTTTTTCTAGAAAATTCCACTTCACTTAGAAAAACAACTGTGTGACAAATTCTGCAAGTTGATTCGAAGTTCAGATTTTATAATAAGTACCTGTTGTCTAGAAATGAGACAGAGAAGAAATTATGTGTTTGCTTTGTATGTTAATTACTATTCTGGGATTTTGGACTTCGAATTCTCTAAGATGTTGTTCAGTGGAATCCTTTGAATTATGTTCTTACCAACTTCCAATGCCAGTTTAAGATGCATGTCAGAAATGAGAAGTAACATACTTAATTTTTAACTTTAAGTTTTTCTATATACTATAATTTCTGTTCGTGTATATTTAAAATTAGCAATCATTCGCTGAATATTTTGGTAGTGTGATTTTCGATATTAAAATATTTGAATGTATTTATATTAAGAATTATGTCTTTTACCTTTATATTATCAATATTTCACTCTTATTAAATTTAGTTAGAAAATAAAATGGAATATAAGTTGTACTGGAAAATCAGCAGAAAGGAAGAAATTCAATAAACTGATATCATCATTTATTTCATAAATAAATTTACTTCTTGCTTTGAAATTGTAGCTGTTAACAAGACTACACTAAGATTTCCTGTCTTCTAATCTTTTTTAAACAAATGTTCAAATTGTTTCTAATCTGTAACATACTTAAGAGTGATATAAATACTTACTTATTTGAAAGGATGACCCATGGAAAGCATGCATTTCTAAAATATTCCATAATGTCAAATGAAAAATTTAAAATTAAAATAAATATATCAAATAATGAAACAAGATAATGAAAATTTATGTAAGTAAAATCTTACATTTCACCCATGTTAAGCTACTGGTAACAAATCTAATTCGTTTTCAGTATTTAGTGTCTATAATCTTCTCAGAATAAATGAAAGCTACTTGTAAAAAGCAAGTTTTAAAACCTACACTAATTTAATTTGAATTAATTTGCCTTTTTAAAGTAACTTTTACAGAAAATATGCATTACTTTTAAAAGTTTTTAAAAAATTAAAGGAAAATAAAAGTTTATTTTACGTAATTTATGTCATTTTGAAGTGTTTTTGTTTTTTGGTTTTTTTTGTACCGGGGATCGAACTTGGGTCCTTGCACCTGAGAGGCAGGCGGCTGAACCATTGGGCTAAATCCCCGACCCTGAAGTGTTTCTATAAATATTTTGTCTAGCTACAGGCATTTAGCCACCATCAGAAAGGGCATTCTAAAAACTTTATGTTGTCAATGATTTATCTTCAAATATTTCATAATATATAAATATAAAATTCTTTTAAAATATAACTAAAAATTCTTTAAAAGTGTCTGTTTAAGCTTCCCTAAAAATAATAATTTTATCATCTTTTTCTCTTATAATTCAGTTACCTTTACATAAACAGAAATTAAACAGAAAATATTTCAATATTAACACATAGTGCACTTGTGATATATATTTATTAACATTATGTTATTGAATTAAACTTAAATAGGTCTCTAGAGTATATCTATTTTCATTTAAAGATTGTTGATATGCAATTTAAATAATATTGCTAAACTTAATACAAAGTAATCAATGCACTATACTAAATGTATTTTTACCTAGAACATTCTTTTGTTTCTGCTTTTTGCCTTTTGTTTTTTGTGAGACAAGATTTGACTATGTAGTTCAGTCTAGCCTTGAGCGCACTATGTAGCCCAGGCTGGCTTCGAACTCACAGCAAATCTTCCTACCTCAGGCTCCCAAGTACTGGGATTACAGGTACATGGTACCATCCCAGCTAGAATTTTTTTTTTTTTAAAGACAATACTTGAAATTAGAAAACAAACCTAAATCAGGAGAAAATGATATAGTCTTAAGCATTTTTTAATACGGACACTTTTAATAAAGTACTAATGAATGGATACAGATATGCAAGATGTCCATGTATTAAGCAAATATAATTACATATAAAGTGCACTTTCGAAGCTCATTAAGCAGGACCTCTAATCTTTTGTGAAAAATTTTTCTTCATGGGTAATTTGGCCTGGTCTCAATTTTCTTTTCTAAAATTAGACTTAAAATATGAATATCACTTTTTGGTGAAGACAACTTGTAGTATTTAGCCATGATTACAGTCAAAATATGATTCATTTAATATATGTTATGTAAAATATTACAAAACAAATACTATATAAAAATTGTCATTTAAAATGTGAAATATGTAGCTCACTGTCTTACTGATCTTATATGTGAATTACATATATTTGCTACATTTCATATACAAGAAGTGAATTACAAATGAAATTATATTGTGAGACTTTACACAGCAAAACCTTGGCTTGAGAGTATAATTCTTTCCAGAAACATGCTTGTAATCCAAAGCACTTTTATATCAAAGCAAATTTCCCCATTAGAAATCATGGAACCTTGGACAATTATTTCCATAGAACAAAAAATTCACATAAAAATGATTATAATACTTTAATATAATACAAAATAAAAAATTCAAAATATAAAGAAAAACAAATTAATCTGTACTTACCTTTGCAAACATGGCTAGTGTGAGGGAGACAAAAGAGAGGAGAATAATTGTGTAAGACAGACTTCACTGTCACTATGAGAATCCCTGCTATCTATTGGATCAAGGGAATCTCTTCCTTTTTGTGCAACTTTAACAAAGAACCTATCCAGCAATACACTTTTAACTCCTTTTGAGGATTTCACAGAAATATGACAATGCAATGTTGTCAAACAAATTCATAGCTCACAGTGTTACAGTCTTACTGGGGTGGTGTTTTCTACCAAGTTTTGCACTGTTTTCCACATTTTCCTATTCTCATTTGCTGTGATTCCTCCACTTTTCTCTCCTCCTTCCTTGCAGACAAGATCTTTTCCACAGCCTCATATTATTGGGAGAGGATCACCTACAATCCTACAGCGAGAGAGAGAAAGAGAGACAGAGAGAGAGAGGGAAAGAGAGAGAGAGGGAGACAAAAAGAGACAGAGAGAAAGACAGGAGAGAGAGGAACCATTGATCACATGATGTTCAGCTTCATGAACTGCTGGTATAACAAGACATCACTCGTATATTAAGAATGTTTGCTTGTCTGTAGAACACTGGCAGAACAAGCTGCTTACAATGCAAGATTTTACTGCATAGTAAAATTGGAAGTTTCACTATAATTTGCAATTAAATGTAAATGAAGGCATCCTATGTGTACTATAATGCATCATGTTGCATATGAAACCCAAATTATTTCATATTTGATTTTATCTTATTTTTAAATTTTAGTGCTCATATTTGTTAATCTTAAGCGTTAATATAACTAGAACTACTATATAATCTGATTTCAATGTGAAAATCCGTTACTTGTATTTTTAATTAATTACCTTCTGTTGCATGGTTGAGGATAAAACCTGTTGGCAAGCACTGTACCACCATGCTACATCCCCAGGCCATACATATTGATTTTTAAAGAATCTGTATTTCAAACAAGTATAGGACAATGGTAAAATACCTTTGGATAATGGCTTATATAACATGGAAGAACAAATGCAGACTCTTAATTTCAAGATGTCTTTTGCCTTGGTTACAGACTCTATATAACTGTTCCTGCCAGTTCTTTATAATAATATCCATGAAACTGGTGTTCTGAAATTTTAATTTCATCTTAATAATTCATCCTAATTAATTTCATCTTTAATAATAATTCTACTTTGGCGTAATAAAAATGGGGTGATATTTTAGCCTTAGGATATAACAACTTAATATAATCTCACCTAAACATAAAAGTTTTGTAACAATTTATTGTCAATATAGCAAAGAAAGATAGTTGTGCACAATGTAAACAGATACTGAGGAATAGAAGTGGAAGTTTGACCCTGAGAATCTATTGTGAGATCAAAGAAACATTCTTAATTTGTTTTATTATAGTGAGAGGTTTATAGAACTACCTTCCTTTGTGCAATTATTTCTGGTATTAAATTAGACATTGTGTAAACTACGTAATATAGAAGCTGTCACATGCCCCTTAAACTAACAATGTCCTCTATTCTCTCTAGTGCAAGACATACGCCTGTGTACTAGAAAGTCATCTAATGGGCCTCACAATTGACTTTAGCACAGGATTTATCTGCTTTGATGCTGCAACAAAGGTAATGTGTTCAGGTTGGCTCTGCAAAATATGTTGCCAACATTCTCATTCAAGAACAAGTGAAATGCCTTCAAACTCCTTTCATCATTTAATTGCCTGTCATGTGTCAAACTTGAGATCTTTATTTGTTGGTCAAAGATAAATTATATTTTAGTCTGTTTATGGAAAATTTTGAATTATAATCATGCACTACAAAACATAACTTTGTTAATATAAATCTATATTAATTTATAAATACAAATATAGACAACAATGTGTATTTTGTTTGTATTTTTGCTTTCTCCCTCTTTTCATAAAGAAATGGCTTCATACTTGAGAGAACATTTTCATCCCTAAGGAACAAATTTTTTAAAGATTTCCTTAATGACTTTTTTTGTATCAATATCTACAAGGTGAAAATAAGGAAAATAAATTTTTATAAGTGGCAGCTTAGCACTATGTGTAGTATGGTAGAGTTTTGAGTCTTGAGGTTTCTAGCCAAGATGGACACCCATTGTAAACACTTGACTGAAGAAGGGCTTTGAGCAATCTGATGAGCTGGGTGAGATGCACAGGAATAATTAAAGGTGCCTCCTCAACGAGTCATACTTTAAAAACTAATCCAACATGGCGATTATAGAGTGACACAATAAAGCCAAAACATTATGCGTTACTTTGTTATGTAACCAGAATGATCTTAATGTTCTGCTGACCCACGCACAACTGCTACTCTGACTCCAATCACTGCTGCACAATCTGACTGTGGCTCTGGTCCCCAGGAAACACATGCCCTTCCTGTCCATTAGAATGTATCTCCCTAGATTCATTCTACTTCCTACTCTATCCAAGAATGGTGCAAAGTATCAACCAAAAGACTCCTTCTCACTGATTTCTGGATTAGTAAATAATCTTTTACTAGAAAACACACATTTTATCCAGAAGTTAAGGTTTGCACAGGATTCTTACAAGCACATACCAACAAAATAAAACAATGACACAGATGTGTGAGGAAGATGGTGTGCTTTGATCTTGGGAAGGATGACAATGTAGTGGTGGGGTACAGCAAGTCATAGCTAGGTAGAATGCCATGCGTGCTCACAGAACTTAGTAGACTTCATGACCAGCAATTGAGATTGTCATGCAACATTTAAATTATCTACAGACGGGCAGTGTTTCTTTTTATCAATCACATGAAATTAATTGCCACACTAATCCAGGTCAGATTTGGCCACCTAGTGTATGGACTTTGCCCAATGCCAAACAAACACTCCTATAAATTCCAGTGATCCTTTTGATCAATCTGCCATCAAATCAGGATAGGCTCATGAATATTAAATTAATTTAATCAATTAACTACTTTAATGATTTAAATATTCAGCTAACTAGGTAACTCATTTTAGAAATAAACAACAGATAAAGTCTGATTTTAAAAAGTAATATCACCAGTATTGTCGCCAAACTGTATTACATGAATGTGGGTCATAAATTAGTAAATGAGACAGAAACAAAAGTTATCTATCTGAACACATATTAAGTATCTGAATCTCTTCTGAATATATGTTTAAGGCTAGTAAAATCTAAATCCATTTTAGTGTCCTGGTCATTCTTTTTGTAATAGAAGAGAAAACCATGATGTTCACAATCTTTCCAATATAAGGGTGAAATTCTGCAAGGAGTAAACTGGGATTGAGTAATTAGTAAAGAGAATCAAAGAAAATTGGTATAATTTCATCCAGGGAATACCATTTAGTAGGGAATAAGAATTTGGTTATTGTAAGCCTAACATGAAGGAAATAACAAGGATTTCAGGAGTAGCAGCCACCATCCTTTCAATTTTTTTATTCTATTGGAAACATCAACCTTTAAGGCAATCTGAGGTTTGAGAAGGAAGAAAATCTACAAACATCATAATGAAGATGATATTATTCATTACCCAGACTGTGACACATGGAGAGTAAAAGTGAGAGGGATTGATAATCATGTTAAGATGGCAGGCATCAAATGAAAGAGTCTTGGGCAAACTGCTGAGCAAACTTCACTGCAAGAAGCTTGCCCCACTCAGTGGAATGTCTGGCAGTCACTTTTAAATACAAATGGGGTAGTTGTTACATACAAACTAAAATCTATCTTGCTCCAATATTTTATTAAAACAAGTAATACCAACTATTTTCTCTCCACTTGATATTCTTGTGGAAAGTGCCCTTAAGAAAATATAGTCAGAAGATTTTTTTAGTTACAGCAAGGTCATTGCAACAAATCTACTCATACTCTATTAGCTGAATGCATTTTATTCTGCACTACATCACAACCAAGTCTTCCAAACTTAAAGTCACTGAGGAGCAAACCAAATATCCTATGATGAAGAAAATTCCAAGCAAAGGGAGGATTCTGTTTTGAGTTATTAAATGAGTTCCAGATGAAGCAGACATTGTCTTGCTAATATCAGCAAAGGGGAGAATAGCTGCATCATTATTTTCTTTAAACTTTATTTTTCATTTTTATGAGAATTTTAAAGTAATGAGTAACAGATATAAGCAATAATGAGAAATAAAGCTAAAGAAGGGATTGGAGACTTTTATCATAGAGAGTGAGAGTCAAACTGATTTTAGATGGCAAAACAGTGCTAAAAATTTGGAGGTAGACTCTTATCTGGATATCAAGCTAATTCTTATTACTGGCCATCTGTGCTTGAAAGTTCTTCAAGAAAAGTACTTGAATTTTCCAGAGTACAACACATACTGAACAGCACACTATTTCATGTGGAGTGTTTTCATGATATCCCCTGAAGATTGATTCTACAATCATTGCAATGTAAATAGATGTTATACTACATTGTTTAAGAAACAATGACAAGAAAGAAAAGTCTGTACATGTTCAGTACAGATGTATTTTTTAAAGAATATTTTCCACCTATGGTTGATTAAGTCTACAGATATAGAACCCACAGATATGCGGTAGGGCGTAAGAGGGGCACAAGTGTATAATGTACAATTTACTGTTTACCTCGGTGTTACTGGATGATCCGTTCACAAAAGTTTATTGCCATACCTCAGTTTGCACTTTGGAATGTTCATCCTTACCAAAACAGTCTTTTCAGTGTTAGAAAAGGGTATCATTACTTCTATGTCAAAGTACAAATTTGTAATTCTTATATAATTTACATAACTAAAAGTATATATTAGTTGCCATTACATTCATTTACATTTTAATTACACTTTTTTCTCTACACAGTATAATTTTATTCTGTGAATAATAAAACAAAAATAAAAATTTGCCAAATAGGCATTGTAATATAAATGGCTTAAAAGTTCTATTCAGAATAATAATCTTTGGGAAATTTCAGTTTCTGTTTGTTGCTGGATACCAGTGAGCTAGTTCTGGTTTTATTGCACAATACTGGGCCAAAACAAATAATCATACTTAGTAAAATTTTAAAGAAAGTTTCCTGTGAAAGGGTAATGGATTATTATCACAGATAGATGACAAATAACTTTAATGAGACTATCAGCAGTTAATTCTGCTAAAGAATTTTAAAGAGAATGCAAAGGTTATTATCCCCCATTTTTGACATAGAATGTATACACTTTTTATTCATGTGATGAGTGTTTAAGCTTTTTCTCTTTCTGGTAAGGAAAGAGTGTGTCTAATATTGGTCATTCAGAGCTGAACACGGAACTTAATTATAGTACGATGTAATAAAACGTTATATGTTCCTTCATGTATCATGTCCAAGATTACTAACTTGGAATGACTGAGCTATTGGAATTGCATTACGTTTACTACTAAAAATTTCAGGTCTTCACTTGCAGTCATTACTCACAGGTGTATAAGATTTTGAAGGTGTATTTTGTACTGACTTCCCTTCTTGATCTTCTTGATTTCTTTTCCTTCCATCTACTTTTTAACCCATTTCAATTGATATTTTCTTTTTTCAGTTTTTTTTTGTTATTAGTACATGTACATTACATAACAACACATGTATTAGTATGTTACATAACAATACATTTCTTTTGGGAACTTGGTACGTGTACATAACACATCTTAATTGTTTTCATCTCCTTCCTCCTCCCTCTGTCTCTTCAACACCTTCTTGTTTGAACAAAATGTAACACCCTACTTCCTATTATCTATTTTTTATTTTGTTCTTTATTTACAGTTTTGGTTTTTCAAGCTTAAAAACCATAAGGTATTTAAGCCTGTATGTCTGATTTCTGATAACTTATCATTATGGTCTCAAGGTGCATCCATTTTCCTGCAAATGACTCACGTTTATTCTTTTTTAGGGTACATTGTGTTTAAATGCCACATTTTCTTTCTTCATCCCTCTGTTGATGGCTGTATAGATAATGTGATTTAGCTATTATGAATTGTGCTGCTATAAACATTAGTATTATTGTAATATGATGCCTTTAACTTTTTCAAGAAAAAGCAATAGAAGGGGAATATCTGGGTAAAATGGAATTTCTAGTTTTAATTTTTTGAGGAATCTCCATAATGATTTCCAGAGTGTTTGTAACAGTTTACATTCCAACCAAAAATGTACAAGAGTACCTTGACCCCTGCGGCCTTGCCAGCATTTGGTATAATTTGATTTCTTGATGAAAGCCATTCTTTCTGAAATGAGATGGAATCTTAGTGTTTTAATTTGTGTCTCTGGTGGCGCACAATGTTGAACCTATTTTCAAGAATCTATAGGCCATTCATACTTCTTCTTTTGAGAAATGTCCATTTATTTCAATTGTCCATCTTTTGATTGGCTCTTTTATTTGGGGGTCTAACTTTTTGAGTTATTTAGATATTGCAGATATTAGTCCTTTGTCTGAGGAATAGCTGTCCAAACTTTGCCCATTCTGTAGGTTGTCTCTGCACTCTGTAGTTTCCTTGGGTTTGAAGAAGCTTGTTAATTTGATATGATCCTTTCTGTTGGTGCTGGTACCATTTTTGTGTCATTGGAGTTCTGTTCAGAAAGTGCTTACTTATGCCTATGTCTTCAAGAGTTTTATCTATTTTATCTTCCAGCAA